GAATTGTTTGGAATTGGGTAGTGAGGAAGCAAGGAAGCAAGGCCAAGGAACCAAGCAGCCAAGATCAAGGTATCAAGGACCTAAGGAACCAAAACAAAGGAAACAAGGTGCAAAGTCCGAGGAAGTAAGGACCCAAAGAACCAACGAACGAAGACCAAGGAAACCGGGCAAGGTCTTGCAAGGAATCAAAGCCGAGAAGCCCCGGGGAGCGCCGATGCAAGGAAACAATAACAAGGGACCCCGATCACTCACCTCTTCGTCAAAAACAAAAAACCGTTTGGGAATGTCGGAGGATGTCCAGGTAGTCTTAAATTCGGGCGTGTCTCCCTACAGGAAGAACGCTCAAAAGTAGTCAGAAAATTCGTCTGGGAGCGATGCTTCGACTACTCTTGCTCCTTTCTGCATGCATGCTTGCTACTACTATGTTGCATTGTTCCTCCCAAGATCCGCCTGCAGGGGGACGTGCCCGACCTCGAGGCAGTCGCCCGTTCACGGCCGATCGCTGCCGCTGTGCCCCACCCCGGCCCAGGAGCACGCGGCGCTGTCCTCGGGGGCAGAGCCGCGGACCTGCCGGCGGCGTGCGTCGCCGTCGACGGCAGGCTCGCCTCGCGCCGTGGCGGCGGGCGGCGGCCCTGCTGCCGGCGCTCGGCGTGGAACGCCGCCAGCGGCCCAGACTCGATCGAGGTTGGACAAGCTGACGTTTCGGGAACGGCCGATCGTTCAAGGTGGGACGATCCCCGCGGTGTCAGGACCCAACGCCCGGGTCGGCACGACACGAAGCCGCGGTACCCAATTCGGTTCGGCCGATAGCGCGCAGCCCGAGTCGTGTCGCGTTGAAGGACCTCGGTGAACAAGCATACGTTGGCGTTAACCCACGTTCTTAGGATCATCGAGTGTGTATCGCCGTTTTCAGGTCGATGCCCGCCGCCCCCGCCTTAGCCAGTCCCCCTCTCTTTCGCCACCCCTTAGCTGGGACCCCCGGCCAGAGGGCGCTTCCCTCTTCCTTTGTAGTATCCAGCTGCGCTGACGCGCGAATCCGCCACGGGCGCCTTGGGAGCGGACGGTCGGTGGGGGCCCAAGGTGGGGATGCCATGGAACGCCAAAACCGCAATTCTGATGCGACACATGTCTTTGAATTGGGGGCAAATGTTTGAAGGATTTGATCTGGGAAACGAATGCGACCCTACTGTTGAGGGGGAAGGGCACGACACACACACACACACACACGCACCCTGTCCTTCTTTAGCGCTGCGAGTCGCAAGCGCATGTTTGCGGGATATGCTTATTCAAATTGCAAATGAGTTAATGTCGAATGCGCTACACTCGCCAACCGCTGGAAGCGCGGTCGCGGATCTCTCTCAGTGACCGTTGTTTCTCGTCTTGCCCTTGCGGGGATCGCACTGCTCGAGGGCGGGTGGCGCGGCGCCGCATGTGTTTGCCCAATGGCCTTCATCACACCGTCCGCCCAGCAGGACCTTTGTTGGAGTTGTGAGGCTAGCAATGAGGGGCACTTTTTGGTCCGCGGCACCGCTCATCATCGGATGCAGGGTGCAAGAGTGCTAAGCGGCACAGCGTGAACCTATCAGGGAATTCTGGTGCAGGTGAGGCATCCAGTCTGTGGTGGTCTCACGGGCAACCGCTGGCAGAAGAGGCAGCAACAGTCCGAGTTTGGGCGGGCTGCGAACTGCGCGACTGTCGCCACTTGTCGTGGGCTCCTGGGGGGCACGGCGGAGTCGGGGAGCACGCAGGCCCGGACGTCCGAGATTTCCAGCGAAGCCCGTGAGATTTGCGCGTGCGGGGCCTCTCGAAGTCCTCCTCCGACCCTCCTGGAGCTTCTTGGGCGCTTCGTGGGCCGCCTTGGGGCCAGCAGGGGCCATCCTGTGACGCTCTTGGCCGGAGGCCGGGGGGCGTGCCACCCTCTTGCCTCACCGCGTGGCGCTCTGGGGGGGTCCCCGACGCCGCGCCCAGGAGCTTTACGGCATCTCTGGCCCGACCCTGCTGGGAACTTGCCGGGGTACTTTTCGTCCTGAGACCCCCAGGGGCCGCCACGCGCGCGCGGATTAGAAACATTCTTGAATACTTATCGGAGTTTTTGCACGCCTCCGGCCCGACTGGGCCGGCGAACAGCATTTCGAAGATCGCCGCCCATTGATCCCCTCGCCTTCGCCGCTCTTAGGCTCTCTTGGAGCCCCCTTGAGGCGCTCCAGGGGCGCCCCGCAGGGCTCTGAGACCGCAGCCAGGAGCGAAACCATATTTGGCCTAAGCTTGCCGGGGGTTGTCCTGGGGAGGATCGGGATTTTTCCTGGGGTTGTTTTCCTTTGGGGCCCCGTGCGAGTCAGTAATCACGTACGAATGTCACGAACGTCTTGTCGTAGATTCTAGAACGCCTTTGGCCCGTTGGGCTGGCGAATTTGCAAAGCCGCCAGCTGCGCGTGAGGTTGTAATCATGAGATGGCATCGCGGCTGCCATGGAGGGTAAATACGAGCTGGTGGCGACTAGTGACATGAACAACAGACTTGATGTTCGGACTACTCTGGTCCGTCGATCTGGGCCCTCCTCCCGTCCTCCGCCTCCCGACTCTAGGTCTTCAATGGACAATGGAGCGCAAAACCATCGCTCGACATGTCTCGGGGCGATCGACTGGGCCGCTGGAGTCCATCGCTGGCAGATGCTTCCCTGCGGCCACCATCTCCCGCCAGAGGCAAGCAGGGATTCAACGGTCACTTGATGTCTGCACAATTGAAGCTCGTGGTCAGGCGCGCGCCTGGAGGGCAACCATCAGGCTGAGCAGCATCGATGTACAGTCGGGGCCCTGAAGAAGGAACCCTTTTCGTTGGGGAGGGGCTCCGCGTTCCTTAAGTGTTTCGCAGCTTGCCTCAGGCTTGCCTTGACGGGAAATCAAAGGTTACCCTATGGAAAAAAGGGGCCTCGTTCCTTATTTGGGGTTCCTTAGGTCAACGCCCCGACTGCAGTCCAGGGCGTGGGCCATGGGGCACCCTCGGGCGACCGAACCACGGTGACCGCCGGAGCGCAAGCGCAGGTGCCCCAGCCGCTGGAAACAGCCCGCGCGCGGCGCACCAGGGGGCTTGGCATCGCTCGGACGTGTGCATTTTTTTCTCGGCGAGAGCCATCGAGGAACATCCACTTTTGGAGGTCTGCGCGGATTTCTTGGCCAGGCGAGGGCTGCAGAAAAGGGGCCCGATAGGACCCCACACCCCATAGGGGCCCTTTCGGGCTCGAAAGGGGACCTGCAGGGCCCGAGAAGAGCACCTCTACTCCCGCTTATCACCCCCATTGTTCGCCACCCAGGGGGATCCAGCGCCTGGCCAAGAAATCCGCGCAGACCTCCAAAAAGTTTCTCGGCAAGATCATTTGGCGAAAAAGCCACGCACGAAACCGAAAAAAGCACAGGGAGTGGACGTCCGAGCGATGGCGAGGGGGGCGCCGGAGGACAGGAAGCCTGTAGAGATTGTTCCCTGGTTCGGCGGCGAGCCCGGCGAGCCAAGGGGGGAAGCGAGAAGGAGAATCGGGGGTCGACAGACCTCCTACCCTGACACGTCGATTAAGGAATTGGCCGTTTTCGGTTCGCGAGAGGGCGTCGCGGCCGTCATTTCTGCGGGGTCCAGCTCCGTGGGTTTCGGTCCCAGGCCGTTTTCACTAAAGGGAGGTTTACTAAAGGGAGGTTTGTCCACCGCCGAGAGAAGGCCTTCTCAGAGGGCGGCGGGACTTCTCAGAAGCCGTCCAGCCTTCTTAGAGAGAAGTTTTCCGTGTACTCGGGGAAGGCTCAGAAAATGTCTCAGAAGGTCGGGGGGCTTCCGAGCCTTCTGAGAAGGCCCGCCCCTTCTCACTTCCCCACCGGGCTCGTCGCCGACTGGTGTTCCCCCACCACGCTCATCCACGCGGGGGGCCTCCTCCCGACATCCCCCCCACTCCTGCCTTCCCCTCATCGTCGTTCCCCTTCCGCTCCTCGAGTTTCTCCATTTGCTCTTGCTTCGAGAATTTACACAGATTGATGGCGCGTTGTCTCGAAATGTGGCCCGCTTCGCGGTGTTGCGCACAATTACTTTCGAAACTTACCCATCGGTACATGGATGGAGGGTTGGCTTCCAAGTTGTGACTCTCACGTGAGATCTCTTCCAGATTTCGGACCAGAAGCTAAATGTATGCCAGCGTTGACCCCAAACAGTAATGTAGTGCACTGTGGACGCGTACATTATGTGGTGCAAGCTATGTGGTACAAATTGTGTGGTACATTATCGTTGGTGCAAGCTATGCGGTGCAAGCTATGTGGTGTAAGCACTGTTCTGCATGCCATAGGGTGTAAGCTATGTGGCGCAGGCTGTGTGATGCAAGCCATGTGGAACAGGCTGTGCAGTGCAGTGCATGTGGTGTAAGGAGACTGCGTGGTGTGAGCAACGTGCCGAGGGCCATGTGACGAAAGCTGCGGTTGGTGCAAGCCATGTGGCACAACCTGCGCGGAACAAGTTGGGCGACAGCCCCGCGCACGAGGCACCCACGAGGCGGCCTTGGGCGGGCACCCGGGCGAAGCCTCGGCACGCCCGGCCAGCGCACGAGTTGCCGACGGCTACGGGCGGGCGGCGCCTCTCCGCCGCCGCTGCCTCCCCGCCGCCGCTGACTCCCCACCGCCGCTGCATCCCCACCGCCTCCCCCCACTGGAGTGGCAGCGGGGAGGAGAGGGACGGAGGGACAGAGGGGGCTCGGACGGGGCCAGGACTCCAGGCCTCCCAGATGGGGTCGGAGCAGATGAGGTCGGAGGATGGCGCCGCATCGCCGATGCATCGACGATGCTGCTCGATGTGGAGCCCGTGTTTCCCCTCGCCGACGTCGTTGATGCATCGCCGACGTCGCTGATGCATCGCCGACGTCGCCGATGCATCGCCGATACATCGCCGATGCATTGGCGATGCGGCGCGATCCTTCGACACCATCTGCTCGGACCCCATCTACGAGGCCTCTGCTATCGGGGCTCAAGAGACGGGGTCAATGCAAACGGGGGTCCGTCAGAGCGCCGGTTCTTGCAGGATCCTGCAGGGCCAGGGGTGCACTGACCCAGGCGTGGGTGCAGGATCCTGCAGAATCTCGCAGGATCTTGCAGGATTCTGCAGAGCCCGACGGCCCTGGGTTGCATTGGCCCGGGTCCGCAGGCCCCCGACCGGGCGCGCGGGCCCGGCCCCATCCTGTTCGCTTCGCCTCGCTGCGTGGCGGGCAGGTCGTCGCGTGCGAGGCGGTCGCGCCGAGGAGAAACCACGACGGAAGAGGTTTGGCCGTCTTCGGCCTCCAGGGGCCCTCGCTGCGCCCCTCGGGACCGGCGAAAGCCAGCGCCGGGCAAGGGTCGGGGCTTCCGGGGGGCTGCGCACTGACCAAATCAAGACATCGCACGCTCGGGTCTGGGCAGGGCGCGTCAGCAGCGGAATGGGAGCGCCAGGCCTGCTCCCCGCAAGCCGGCTCCGAGCAGCCTTTAGCCACCCTCAGCCGGCTCCCCCGCTCCAGTCTGTACTGTTGGGGGGGGGGACAGGCTTAGGGGGGATGCGAAGCGCCAAGTGATCGCCGAGAGTCGCGAAGGCCCAAACATGGAGTGGCGACGCGTGGATTCGCGACGGGTCCCGCTCCCTCACGGAATCGGCGTGCTCCGCCTCCAGGTCGGGCGGCGTTGGCCTCGCGTGTCGGGGGGTACCCCCCCCGATCTGTGGATCTGGCGCCGACGCGACATATAGGGGGCCACATGCGAACCCTACCCCCACCTCCCACGATTTCTGAGGGGAGGGTGGGGTTCACTTCGCTCGGGAGCTCCCTAACGAAGTGAACCCCACCCTCCCCCTCAGAAATCGTGGGGGGTAGGGGTAGGGTTCGCATGTGGTCCCCTAACATACCCACGGACCCCCAATCCACGCCAGCGTGCGCCCGAGGTGAGGGCCCGCTGGCCCCGCCCCGCTCAGCAACGTTCGGACTCGCCGTCGGGGGCCGGATGCCGATCCATCCACGACGCGTCGCCGATTCCAGCTCGATGTTGCCCCCTCCTCCGCCTCCTCCTCTCCTCCTCCTCCTCCTCCTCCTCCTCCTCCTCCTCCTCCCTCCTCCTCCCTCCCTCCTCCCTCCTCCTCCTCCTCCTCCTCCTCCTCCTCCTCCTCCTCCTCCTCCTCCTTGTTATCTCGGGCCTCCCGCGGCCGGTCGGGACGGCCCGGGCACCCCCCCGAGCGCTCTCGGCGAGGCGCCGCCGCTGGAAGGCGCCCCGAGGCTGGAGCGCCGCCGAGACCCAGCGAAAGCGCCCGGAGACCGAAGACGAGGACTCGAGCCTCGGACCTCGAGTCTCGTTGCCCCCCGAGCCTGTCCCCCGGAGCCCAGGCTTCAGGAGGAAAAGAGACACACAGACACAATGAATCCTCGATTCCCCCGAAGATATGGGAAAATCTGGGAAGTGGGGGGGAAGACAGAAACCCAGAAAATATAGGGAAACCTTTTATTGGTGTGTACTTATTTGTGTGTCCTGGGGCCCCTTGAAGGTTCCCCCTCCCCCTCCCCCGACGGTCAAGTCGCTGAAGTGAGGACCACGACCACCTGGGGCTCAGGAGGGGCTCTCTGGTCGTCGGGCGGCCCTGCAGGTCTGGGCCGCAGGGCCCCCTCGTGGCCAGAGCTCGCCGTGGCCCGACCAGGCTCCCTGCGCTCCTTCTCCAGCGCTCCCCGTGGCAGCACGATGGCTGCAGCTCGGTGGCGAGCCGGTGGGGGAAGCGGGAATGGAGGAGGCCCTGCGGCGGAAGCTCTCCGAAGCCCTCGCGCCCTCCGCGGAGTGTCTGCTTCGTGTGTCCGGGGGAGGCTCAGAAAGCCTCTCGCAAGGCCGCCGGGAGACCGCCAGAGAAGGCCTCTCGGAAGCCTTTCAGAGAATGCCTCCCTTTGAGAAAGCCTCTCGGAGGGCTCAGAAAGCCTTCTCCGAAGGCCGAGCCCTCCGAGAAGGCCCGCCCCTGCCCCCCACGCTTCCGCACCCCCGGCGCGCCGCCGAGCAGCGCTGGCGCGCGGCTCCCCGGCCCCGCTGCGCGCGCTGCCCCGAGGCCCGGGGGCGTCGGAGCTGCCACCCCGCAGGGAGCGGGCCCGCCCGCGTGCGGAGCAGCGCGCGCGCCACCGGCGCGGCGGGCGGATGGCGGTGCCCAGGGGAAGGGGCCAAGGTCTGGGTCGAGGAGGTGGCGTCCGAGCAGAGGGGGAGGAGGAGGAGGAGGAGGAGGAGGAGGAGGAGGAGGAGGAGGAGGAGGAGGAGGAGGAGGAGGAGGAGGAGGAGGAAGAGGAGGAAGAGGAGGAAGAGGAGGAAGAGGAGGAGGAGGAGGAGGAGGAGGAGGGGGTCCGTAGCCATTTTGGCTCAAGTAATCCATTTCTCGAGGTTGGTCCAGGGTGACCACTCCCCGAGGCCCCAGAGAAGCCCCAGGACAGGGGCCTCCGCTTTTCTTTCGCTCCCCGCGGCGAGGCCGCACCATACTCACTTCTGGCTACGCTACGTCCCATCTCTCTTTCTGCACATCTGTTTCGAAGCAGGCTATGGAGAGCGATGGCCACCGTGCAGCGGCAGCAGCCGCGACACTCGAGGCGCTCGAGGCCATGCCGACGTTCCCCTCGCAGGAGGTCGCCACTCCTCAGCGCGCTGGTCTTCTTTGTCAGTCTGACGACGAGCATCCTGACGGTCAGCCACCAAATAAGCGGGCCGTCCTCTCATCGTCACATGGCGTCCCCGACAACAAGGGTTGGGGAAAAGGACACGCTGCTGCATCTGGTGCAACTTCCTCTGCCTCGGGCACAAGCGCTGATTATGGCAACGGAGTTCCCCCACTTCCTGCCCTTCAGCAGCGTCATGGATACGATGGTAATGGCATGCACCCCGTCGAGGAAATTGTTGCGATTCGTGCCCACGCGGATGCAGTACAGGCAGCACTTCAGCAGTCGATCGCAGTGGTGCAGAACAGTGCGCAAGCCTCTCTCTCGTCGGTTTCGAATAATATCACCGCTTCGTTCCGCGACATCAGCCACACGATGGAGTCGAGAATTAATCGAGTGGAAAACCGAGCCGATGACCAGGACAAGCGTCTGGACCGCATCGAGAGCCAGATCGCCCAGCTCCGTCAGGAACTTCAGGTGGCCCAGAGCGAAGAACCGCAGCCTCCTCTCCGTCCAACCACAGGCTCAAGCTTCAACAGGGAGGTCGACCGCACTGTGGCGGTCATCCGCTCCCCGAAGCTGGTCACGAAGGCGAACATGCACAATGCGCTGGTGGACTGGTTGCACGACTGTAACACTAACGAGCAGGAGTGCACCTTCGACGAGCAGGAGCCAGCGGGGACCAGATTCACGATGCGCTTCACTGGGTCGAAGAACTATGCCGAGCGGAAGGTCAACCAGGTCCTGGGCGCCCTCAAGACGGCCTCGCCTGGCAATGCCCCTCCAGTATGGAGGGCCTTCCGTGCCGAGTCGGTCGCGGACGGCGCAGTCAATTTGTTCGTCGGCCCCGAAAGAACACAGAAACGGTGCGCCGCGAGTTGGGTTGCAACAAGGTCAAGGGCGTGCTGGCGCGCGAGTTCCCGCAGAAGCGCTTCTTTCTGGACAGGCACAAGGGCGAGATATTGCTTGGCTGGAAACCTATATGCAAAGCGGTCCCAGTGGAAGGCCAGGATTCCCCGAATTTGCCGCGGGCAAGGGAGAACATGCGGGCGGAGGGCATGGATGCGCAGCGCGCCCAGCAACTCGCCGCCGACTCCTTCGGCCCCGTCACCGAGACAGCGTGGAGCTCCTAGCGCCCTCAGTACTCTTTGGCATGGACAGGCAACGCGAGATGGCACTCTTCACTTTGATTTGCGAGTGGTCACATGGAATGCGAGGGCGTTATTTCATCATGATGATTCACTGAGGGTGCAAAAAGTGAGGCTGCTTCGCCGTCTTGTGCTGTCGGGCACTATAGTTGCTATGCAAGAGACGCACGGTGCCCCGTGCGATGTCAGCGACCTCCTCCGCTCTCTCCACCTCCCCTTCCAGGCGCACTGCTCATTCCATGAAGATTTTCGCGCTGGGGGCGTGATCACCATTTTCCCTCTGTTCTTTCCCACCGAGCCCCGCATGGTTTCGACGGGCGACGTCCTCCCTCTTGTCTCCTCCTCCCCCCTGACCCCTGGCCGCGCACTTCAGACCAAGATAGGGGCTGTGAATGGGCGGTGCTGGATCCAGCACTTTAACATCCACAACCGCGGCCTGCCCGCGGGCGCAAGGCAGTTTTGTTCGGCGCGATGGCGGACGCGCTTCAGCAGGCGCAGGAGGATCCGCTCAATGGATCGACTTTCATCGCAGGGGATTCGAACCTCCCAGCCCATGAACCCCTCCCCCTTAACCCCCCGAATGGTGACTTCGGTGCGTTTACTGTCCCCCCCCCCCCCTCCCAGGGACTGGAGTGAGGTTTTGGCCCCCACGGTTGAGTTTGAGCTCCCCCCACACACACACACACACACACACACACTCACACTCACACTCACACACACACACACACACACACGCACACGCACACGCACACGCACACGCACACGCACACGCACACGCACACGCACACGCACACGCACACGCACACGCACACGCACACGCACACGCACACGCACACGCACACGCACACGCACACGCACACGCACACGCACACGCACACGCACACGCACACGCACACGCACACGCACACGCACACGCACACGCACACGCACCCGCACCCGCACCCGCACCCGCACCCGCACCCGCACCCGCACCCGCACCCGCACCCGCACCCGCACCCGCACCCGCACCCGCACCCGCACCCGCACCCGCACCCGCACCCGCACCCGCACCCGCACGCGCACGCGCACGCGCACGCGCACGCGCACGCGCACGCGCACGCGCACGCGCACGCGCACTTGCACACGCACACGCACACACACACACACACACACACACACACACACACACACGCATTTCAACGGCCACAGCTCGACGTTGAGTTTTCTGGACTGGATCTTCTCCTCGCTGCCAGGCTGGATTATGTCGCAAGTCGCGTCGGGGGGGAAGTCACGGAACGCCCTGAGGTGCTGGGCGCGCAAGGTCTCACCGACCACGCGCCTGCGGTCGCGCACATCCGCGCGCGGCCGCCCAGGCCAGAAGGGGACAGACCGATCCCCAAGGAGCTTTTTTGCGTCGGCTCCTTACAAGTACTCCCTTGAGCGAGCCGCCCGAGCGGCTTCCTTTGACCGCCTCCCCCCCCCCCCTCGCTCACGAGTGCTACAAACTTCTGATGGCGGAAGCTGCCAGATTTGCCAGGAACCAGCTCATCCAAAAACGACCGCACACCCACATCTCCCGTGTTCTGGTCGTCCGAGGGATTGCTCGTGCATTGTTCCGCCAGGACTGGGTCTTGGCTCAGCGTCTTTTCAGTCGCATCCTCAATGCCGAAAGCACCTCCCCCTGGGCCTGAATACGCACACTATCTCCCTCCGCAACCTTATCCTCTTCACGACCCTCTCCAACGAGCTCCACCTCAAGACTGCCCAGACGACGGAGCGTGCTCTCCAGGCTAGTGCTCAGCGGCTATCGCGCCCGTCTGCGATCGCCCGTGTCTCGGCCCGCGCTCGCAGGGTCAATCGACTCTCGAAGCTGCGGCACCCGTTCGATCGGCGACTGATGCTGTCGGGAGTTCGCACCAACGGAGGCGAAGTTGCACAGACGCCTTCCGCTATACTCTCGCACCTGGCTCAGCACTGGGCCCCGACCTTCACTGCTAAGGAGTACCGCTACAAGGAGGCTGAAGCTTTCTTGGAGAGCCCCCCTCCCCAACTGATTGCGGACGATACCCCACCCCCCCCCCCCACACACACACCACCACACACAACACACCACACACACACCACACCACACACACACACACACAACACACACACACACGCACTACACACTACACCACACCACACACCACACACACACTAGCACACCACAACACACACACACACACACACAACACACGAACACACACACACACCCCACACAACACACACACACACACACAAACACACACACCACGCACCCGACACACACACACACACAGACGCAACACACCACACAACACACACCACACCACACACCACACACACACACCCACACACACACACACACGAAAGCCACCACGCACACACACACCACCACACACACACACACACACACACACACACACACACACACACACACACACACACACACACACACACACACCTTCCAGCACATCCAGAAATATCTCAAGGTCCAGACCCACAGCGCCCCAGGCCCTGATCGGCCCCCCTACTGCGCTTGGCACTTCGCTCCTCGTGGCGCCGACGCGCTCCACAATTCGATGCCGTCGGCTGATTTCACATCTGTGCAGAGGTCTTCTCTGCAGGATATAACGAGGCGAGGGGGGGGGGGGGGGGGGGCACCCCCGAGGGGGCCGACCCGCCGGGGGAAGTTGCTGGCACCCGCCGCCCCGCGGATACTCGTCCGCTTGGCTTGAAAAACTGCGACAACAAATTGTGATTACGGGGGTTTCCGCGAGGCCCCTGGCCTTCCCCCCCCACCCCCCCCCGCCCCCCCCCCCCCCCGCACACACCCACACACACCCACACACACCCACACACACACACACACACACACACACACACCCACACACCCACACACACACACACACACACACACACACACACACACACACACACACACACACACACACCACGGGCCTCGACGAGGTCCAGCGCGGTTTCGCCCCCCGCCGAAACTTTGGGCAAAACATTCTGGAGCTCGACGCCGTGGGGCGGCAGGCTAGCATGCGTGATTCCCCCCCCCGTCTGCCTCCCCTCCCTCCTCTGTTTTGACTTCGGTCAGGCTTTCCCCATCCATGGCCCAGCGTTGGCTGTTTGCGGTCCTGAAACGTATGTCCCTCCCTCCTGCGCTCCTCCGCCTCCTCCTTGATCTGTATTCTGGCGTCATCTGCGCTGGCCTCGTTGGTGGTCTCGAACAGGTCCTCTTCTGGGTCACTAGTGGGACCCTCCAGGGCTGCCCTGCGAGCGGCACGCTGCTCGCTATAGGGGCGGACCCCCTCCTTCGGATGTTTAGGGCTTTGCTGGAGTCTCGGGGTAAGGGTATTGCGAGGGCCCGCGCAGATGACAAAGGCACAATATTATTCCAGCTGAAGGATGTGGTGGATTTGGCCTCTGTCTTCCGTGGCGGAGTCGCTCGCGCACCTCACTTTGAAGGTGCTGAAGTGCAAGCTTGTCCCGCTCGCTGAGAAATGCTCGGATAGACTAGCTCGACGGTATCATCGGACCCTCTCGACCTTAGTCCCAAGCTGGTCTGGTTTCGAGATGTGCCCCATGGCGTTCTACCTCGGTCTCTGGCCGGGCCCAGCTGTTACCCCATGGACCTCGTGGGGCGCCCCCTGGACCAAGTACCTTCAGCGAGCACGCGCCCTGTCGGACGTGGGAGCCCCGTCGGAGCTCACGGCATCCATGCACGCGCGGCGTGTGCTCACTGTCCTCTCGTATGTTGGCCAGTACCAGCTACTCCTTCCAGAGATGAGGAGAAAGGAGGCGGCGATCCTTGCAAATGTTTGCAAGCTCCCCTGTCATCGCGTGGACGAGCAGGGCTGGCCGAATCTCGAGAAGCGGGGCGGCCCGCATATCAGGAGCGCGCGGTGCACGAATGCGGCGCAGCTGGTGCGAGCCCGCCAATACACATTCTCAGATTGGCGCCCCCTTCTTGATAACCTCAGAGCGAGCGCGGAGAGCGCCCTCCCGATCGTCACGATCCTCAGTGGTCACAAGTGGCCTGGCTTCTGACGCCAGCAGCTGCGGCCCGAATTCTGGGAGTCCCCCGCCATGGTCAGCACCCTCGAGGCCGCCTCCCAAGGGTTCCCCACGTCTGATCATCTTCGAGATATATGTGTTACTGCCATCCAACAGCTTCAACTTATGCAACAACAACATATACAACGTCATCGTCCTCTCCACCTCCTCCGCCCTCAGCGTCACCTTTCTCTTCTTCTTCATTCTCAACTCTTTCCTGACAGGCTCCAAGAACTCTTTCTCCGATGTCTCAGATCCTGGTTCCCGCACAGCGCCCACACCATCGCCCTTATCCCCTGGCCTGTTGTCCGCTCCTCCCTCCTCTCCCTCCCCCCTTCCTGGAGAGCTGCCGTCGTTCGAACCCTGGTGGGCGGCTGGATCACGCCCTCGAATTTTCAAGAGCAGGAGCCGCGCCCATGCTCCCAGCGTCCGCCCCACTCGTTCCGCCATCTGTGGTCTTGCCCTGTCTTCCTCACCCTCCTGGCTCGCATTGCGCGCGTCCACCAGCTCCCGCCCTGTCCTATTTCCCTTCTTGGCCTCATCCATCCATCTCGTGACGCATTCAGAATTGTAGTATAGGCGGTTCACCTTCATAATGAGATTAGGACATCTTCCACCTCGCTCAGTGCGAGGTCGAGCGGAGCCATCATCAGGCTGGTCCGCCACCAGGTTGCCCGTCCAGCGACCTGATGGACCAGGCCCGCGGCTACGCTCGAGGAGGAGGAGGAAGGGGAGGAGGAGGGGGAGGAGGAGAAGGAGGAGGAGGAGGAGGAGGAGAGGAAGAGAGGAGAAGAGAAGATGAGGAGGAGGAGGAGGAGGAGAAGAGGAGGAGGAGGAGGAGGAGGAGGAGGACCAGGATCCGCCAAGGTCTGGGGCTCCCAGGTGGCGTCCGGGCGGAAAGGGTCGGAGGATCGCGCCGCCTCGACGACGCCTCGGCGCTGTGGAGCCCGATGTCCTCCACGCCGGCGTCCCCGATGCATCGGTGCGTCGGCGATGCGGCGCGATCCTCCGACCCCCCCCATTCGGACGCCATCCGGGGGGCCTCTACAAGAGCGGTGTGGAGATGAGGTCTCTCTCTCTCTCTCTCTCTCTCTCTCTCTCTCTGTCCATCTCCTCTCTCTCTCTCTCTTCTCTTCTCTCTCGCTTCTCTCTCTCTCTCTCCTCTCTCTCTCTCCCTCTCTCTCTCTCTCTCTCTCTCTCTCTCTGCGACCATTCTCTCTCTCTCGTCTCCACCCCCCCCCCCCCCGTTCCCCAGCGCGACGGGATGGGCGCGGCCCTGACAGCGCTTGCGCAGCCCTTGGGCTTGATGCGCCCAGAAAGGCCCCCCCCCCCCAGTCGGCTCGCAAACGGACCACGGCGGTGGAGATCAAGGCCAGGTACATGATATGTCCCCGGTTTTCACGGCCCCCTCTTCTGGTTCCACTTCGTTTCCCCCCCCCCACCCCACACACACACTTCTTGCCCTGGCCTTCCAGGAGGGCTTAGCAATAGCACCAGCTAGGACCTCGACTTTCAAATTCCCGTCGAGCTTTTTGTTATGCAGTCCGGACAGGTCTACAGGTGTGGAGGGCTATGCTGTAGCACTCTGGAGGGTCAGGGCTGGACGCCCCCCGGTTTGGACGCCCCCGAGGTGCGCGCGCTGGACTCGAACGAGGCGGCCATGTGGTTCGGGGCGGTCAAGCAGGATCTCCGCGCCTCCCCACCAGGCCTCCGACGTATTGGACGTATTGGTTCCCTCCGCCGTGTGTCTTCTCTGGCCCCCCCTTGTCGTTTTTGTTCGGGCCCTTGTTCGGTCCTTTTTCCTGCAGCGTGTGGGAATCAGCGCATGACGCTGACCCACGGCCAAATAGATCCGACGCGCCGGTTAGCTAGTAAGTCACAGAAGCTGCCGCTCGTCCTGCATTGAATACATGTCGGCGAATAGTGCTTAGAGCGCCCAGTAGTGCGACCAGAGCTCCTACCAGCGCCCATATAGCGCCCGATGGCGCCGAATCACACCCACATGGTACCCATTAGCCCAAGGGTGCCATATCATGAAGGAGACGCATTACGTCCGATTTGCGCGTTATTGGGCGCTATTGGGTACCATGGGGACGACCTAATGCTTTCTGGAGGTGCATATTCAGAACGGCAATAATAAAGACGGAGGGTTTCCCAAAAAAACAATGTTTTCACCTAGGAGGTGCTTTTTCGTGCTCTGGGAACTGGGCCTGAAGCGTGTAAGGGGTGTGCCGACATGGGTGGCGCGGATGCATGTGGGCACCGCCATTGGGGCCCTCTGTAGAGCTCCCCATGGGGCCACGAGGCGTGTGAGGGTGTGAGGGGTGTGGTTAGATGGGTGGCGCGGGCGCATGTGGGCACCGTCACTGGGGCCTTCGGTGGAGCTCCCTATGGGGCCACGAGGCGTGCGAGGGGTGTGCCGATAGATGTGACGCGGACGCATGTGGGCACCGCAATTGGGGCCTTCTGTGGAGCTCCCAATGGGGCCACGAAACGTGTGACGGGTGTACCGAAATGGGTGGCGCGGACTCATGTGGGCACCGCCACTGGAGCCTTTTGGAGCTCCCGATGGGGCCAAGAAACACGGGATGGGTGTGCCAACATGTGTGGCGCGGACGCACGTGGGCACCGCCACTGGGGCCTTCGGTGGAGCTCACTGTGGTGGCAACGAAACATGCGAGGGGTGAGCCGAAATGGGAGGCGATGATGGTGATGGTGCTGGTGACGGCAATGATGGTGACGACGACGATGACGACGACGACGACGATGTTGATGTTGATGATGATGATGATGATGATGATGATGATGATGATGATGATGATGATGATGATGATGATGATGATGATGATGTTGGTGATGGTGATGGTGATGGTGATGGTGATGGTGATGGTGATGGTGATGGTGATGGTGATGATGATGGTGGTGGTGGTGATGATGATGAGAATGATGATAAAAATGATGATGATGATGATGATGATGATGGTGATGTTGATGGTGATGGTGATGATGATGGTGATCCTGATGGTCATGATGATCATGATGATGCGGATGATGATGATCATGATGATGATGATGATGGTGAATAAGAAGACGATGATGATGATGAAGGCAATAATGATGACGATGATGATGATGATGGTCATGATGATGATGATGATGATGATGATGATGATGGTGCTGATGATGATGGTGATGGTGATGGTGATGGTGAAGATGGTGATGGTGATGGTGATGATGATGATGTTGATGGTGCTGATGATGATGTGTATGCTATTGATGATGCTGTAGCGAATGATACTGATGATGATGTTGATGATGACGACGGCGATGTTGATGGTGATGATGACGGTGATGATGATGTTGATGGTGATGATGATGATGTTGATCATGATGGTGATGATGGTGACGATGCTGATGATGATGATGGTCACTATGCGGATGGTGATGACGATGAGGACGATGAGAGGTGGCAGGAGGGGGATGATGGGAGGATGGGATCATGGGAGCAGGGAGGAGGGGGAGGAGGAGGAGGAGGGAGGAGGGAGGAGGGGCAGGAGGAGGAGAGGAGGTGACGCGGGGCGCTGTCTACTCATAACAAGGACCCAGCACCGCAGGATGGTCGGGTGGTCTCTCGGACATGGTCCAGAGCTCAGGGCCCTCGTCGGAGTGTCTGCAGAAACTGCGGGTGTGGGCCCGATCTCGGCCCTCGGGGGCCGTTCTCGGGCCTTGGCCCATCCAGAAGCGGAGCCGGCACTCAGAGCGGCCCCCGTGACACAAGCGTTCCGCCTTTTGGGGGCCGCAGATTGCCATCACCCCAGCAAAGCGCCTTGACAGCAGCAAAGGCGGCGGGTCGAGAACTAGGATAGGAGATCGGCGAGTACAAACGTGCACTCATAGGGAAGGTAGCGCGAATCGAAGGAGTTCTGATCTCTTCCTCGGCGGAAGGCGGCGGAGGATCGGCGGCAGCAAAACGAGGCCGCCTCCGCCAGCGGCGGCGGAAGGCGGCGGAAGTAAAAGATACACCCCCACGAGATGAAATTTGTGTTTGGTTCAGGGTTCTCGGAATCCGCCAGATATTCTTGTGGATTCCAAGGAAAGATGCAGCCCGCACAGGGGTGAGCACGGTCATGTGCACTTCAGTGTATTTTTTATGAGGGGGCCGCGTTGTCCGAAATATAGCCTGGACCCAGGCGAGAGCACGATTTCTAAGTTCACTGTTACCGGACCGGGCGGTTTAGGGAGGGTTCCCAGTCCCCCTTCTGTGGAATTCTTCTGGGGTCTTCTTAACTTCTGTTAACGCTCCAGCGAAACGCTATTCCGGAAAACTACAACATCGCCACAAACTAGGACTGGAGTTTTTCCCCACATCCTGAGTGGGGTTCTTGTTTTCCCAGAACACCCTCTCCTTCCCACCCACCTCCTGCTCCATCTTCCATACAGCACAATATTATTCCTACCACACACCATACCATACCATAGTTCCTACCACACATACCATACCATACCATACCATACCATACCATACACCATACGTACCATACCGTACCATACCATACCATGGCGTACCATAGCATACCATACCATATCACACCAATGCCACACCGTACCATACCATACCATACCTCCAGTACCATACCATACCATATCATACCATACCGTACCATACCATACCTACCATACCATTCCATACCACTCCATACCGAAAACCATACTACTTACATGGTTTCGTGCCCCTCCCACCCCTCCAGGGAGGCCCCGCCTGAGCGAGGAGGGTATCGAAAACCATACTATTTACATGGTTTCGTGCCCCTCCCACCCTCTCCAGGGAGGCCCCGCCTGAGCGAGGAGGGTATCCGAAAACCATACTATTTACATGGTTTCGTGCCCCTCCCACCCCTCCAGGGAGGCCCCGCCTGAGCGAGGAGGGTATCCGAAAACCATACTATTTACATGGTTTCGTGCCCCTCCCACCCCTCCAGGGAGGCCCCGCCTGAGCGAGGAGGGTATCGGAAACCATACTATTTACATGGTTTCGTGCCCTCCCACCCTCAGGGAGGCCCCGCCTGAGCGAGGAGGGTATCCGAACCATATTTATGGTTTCATGGTTCAAAACCATACTATTTACATGGTTTCGTGCCCCTCCCACCCCTCCAGGGAGGCCCCGCCTGAGCGAGGAGGGTATCGAAAACCATACTATTTACATGGTTTCGTGCCCCTCCCACCCCTCCAGGGAGGCCCCGCCTGAGCGAGGAGGGTATCCGAAAACCATACTATTTACATGGTTTCGTGCCCCTCCCACCCCTCCAGAGAGGCCCCGCCTGAGCGAGGAAGGCATCAAGAAAATGGGTCCCACGAAACCGTTAATCTCTTTATGTGGGGAACTTCGTTAGCATAATTTTCTGCAGCATTTGCTCGTGGGTTCGTTGAGGGTGGGTCATCCCAAGGTCGGGTTACCGAGGAGCCCCAGGGTGGAAGGAGGAGGAGGAGAGAGGAGAAGGGAGATTGGGGGAGGCGAGGGAAGGGGTGAAGAGGAGTTGAGCACGAGGGTGACGAGGGGGGAGGAGGGCGAAGAGGGAGGAGGGATGAAGGAGGAGAAGACGGCGGAGGAGGAGAAGGAGGAGGAGGAGGAGGAGCCCAGCATGGAGGAGGAGGGGTGGAGGGGGAGGAGGGGGGGAGGGATGGAGGAGGGTGACGAGGAGAGGAGGGCGAAGAGTGAGCCCACGAGGACTGGCGGACTCTGCGGCGGGCCCCGCCCGCCGTCCGCGCCTGCCGGGGCCTCGTGCTGGCGGCCGCCGCCCAGGACCCGCGGGCGCTGCAGTACGCCAGGCAGGGCCCTTTTCCGATCCCGTCGATCCGAGTCAATGCCAGTTTGTTTGCGTCATTGTGTGTCCAGGGGGGCAGGAGCTGTTGCCCCAGCCGGCGCCTACAGTAGGCAGCGTTGTATGTGTGGCGCAGCCCGTTCCCGTCTCTCTTTGCCCAAATGTTTGGCTGGAGTTTCGGCCACGTTCGCAGGACAGCCTTGCGAAGATCATGAGGCGTGTATAGTATCGCTGTCCGCTCCCATCTCCTGCTCCTCAAAACAATTAAAAAATAAAATAAATAAAAAAAGGCTGCCGTGCGAGGCCAGAGGCGTGCTGAGATCTCTGGGCCCCCTGGCGAAAAGTGCCCCAGGGGGGCTCGCTGCAGGCCCGTGCTTGCAGATCTTGGCGGACGCGGCCCCCTCCGCACGGCGGGGGAGCTGGAGCCTGCCAGCAGCTGCTCCCGAGACGGTGGAGGCGCGATCCGATGCGATTTCGATATCCTGAGGGTCCGACGCGGCCCGATGCTTACATGGCGCTGTTGTGCATTCTGGTGCACCCGATCCGGTTTGATTTCGGGTCCGTGCCGATGCTGCCCGTCCCGAGGCACACTTCGATTCCATCCGACTTACTGATTCGTGACTGACTGAGCCTGCCAGGGAGTCGCTGTGGGAGGACCCGGCCTTCGCCGTCGAGTGCTTGCGGGCGTTCTTGGGCGACAAACTTACCCCCTGAGACCCTGGCGTTACAATATCTTGTCACCGCGGGCGTTTTCGCCCAGTCTCGCGCCTCGGGACCCTCACAGATCGACCAGGCTCGAGAAACGACGCAGACAGCTGGGGTCTGGGGCGCCGGTGGTGCCCTCTTGCGGAGTTGCCATGTTCCTACAATGGCAGAATGGAGGGTGGGCGAAACACATATCCGTACGCGCGGCCTCGCTGGCCGAGCCCCTGGACCGCGATCCCGCGGATACTGGGCGTGGTTTCGCGGCTGCCCCCCCCCGCGCGGGACGTCTCCGTGCGCCCGCGGGGTCGCGCCCCGGAGTCCAGACCGCCAGGGCGCGGATACGGATACAGTGGGGACCCATGCCAAGAAACACCCTGCTGGCCTCCAGTGTGTCCTGGGTTTCTTGGGCTTCGATGGAAGCGCTATGGAGAGCGTGACGCTCCCACCCCAAAAATCAGTGAACGTCCTGGGGTCTCAGGGTTGCATTTCTTGCGGAAGGTCGCTCGTGGTCGGGCCCCCACTGTATGTTTGCCGCTCGTGAGGTCTCCGGCGGCCGGGCCGCGCCCTTCCTGCCGGCGGCGCACCGCCAGGACCGCGCGGTGATGATGGAGGCGCCAGGGGCAACCTCACGGTGGGGGAGATGGGCTCAGGGAGACTCGCATTGACCCCCAAATTGAGGGGAGGAAAGGGTAATTACGTACATATACATCTACCCTCTTGCAGATCCCTCGCCAGCGCGCCGCCCCTCGAGGCCGTGGCCCTGGACGGCCTGGCCCTGAACAGCGTCTACGGCACCGAGCTGCGGGCGGACGCGGAGCTGGTGCGGGTGGCCGTGCGCCAGAACTGGGCCGCCCTGCAGTTCGCCTCCGAGGCCCTGCGCCAGGACCGCGAGCTGGCCCTGGAGGTTCGGTGGCAAAGCATGGGAGCCTCGTGTGCCCTCGCAATTTTGTCTTCAGCGTCGACTGGCGTCTGGGAGTCGATGAGGTAGCGCCGAGTTAGCGTCGGCTAGCGTCGATGAGCGTCGATTTGGCGTCGTTTAGCGTCGATTTAATTTAGCGTCGACGAGCGTCGATTCGCAGGAGCCGACAGGATGGTGTGGGAGGCTCCCATGACTTGCCACCGAACCTGGAGGCCGTGCGGATCTCCTGGGAGGCCGTCGAACCAGAAGAAGCGGCGGAGCAAATCCGCGGACGGCGTGTGTGCACCGTGCCTCGCTTGCGTCTCCCGAGGCGTCGTCGATCTTCGGCCCAGGAGTGGTACGGTGCACAGTTCTGTCAGCCCGCGGAGCCGGACAGGCTGTGTGCACCGTGCTGCGTCGGAGCGGGCTCCGAAGGGAGTCCAAACATGCTACGGTGCACGGGCGTCGCCCTCGCAATACAACGCGTTCTTCCTGAGCACCGCGCGGATCTCTCGGAGCCGTGCTGGGCACCCCCGGCGCCGCCCCTGGCGGCGCTCCGCGCGCCAAGGGCGGGGGGGAGGCCCTCCCGCCTCGCTCCGAGGCGTCCGCGCGGAGCTCCGCGGGCCCCTCCCTCCCGTGGGAGAGAGGCCGTCGCGCTGCTGCCCGCGGAGCTCCACGCGGACCGCGGCGTGATGCTCGAGGCGCTGCGGCAGAGCGGCGAGGCCCTGCGGTACGCGGCGGAGGAGCTGCGGGCGGACCCGGCCCTGGTGCGGGAGGCGGAGGAGCGGGGCTGGGCCGTGGCGGCCACGGGCGAGGAGCGCAACTACCACAGGCGCGCCCGCCCGCCGGCTGGCCGCTGGCCACCTGTGGCCGCTGGCAGACGGCGGCCGCGGCGGCGGCCGCGGCGGCGAGGGCGAGGGGGGCGCTGTTCTCGTGATCGTGCCTGCTTCTGTCGGCGTCGCCGTGATACCGCGCCCGCCCAAGTCACCGGCTCGCACCGAAGTGCCCGCTGTGGGCACTGCCCAGCGGTCAGCGCCACCGCGGCCGCGGCGACTAGCTGGCCGCTGTGCGTGCGAGCATGCGCGGGCTAGCGCAGCCGCAGAGATGCACCCGCCAACGCCAGGCACTCATCGCAATGGACGCCGCATGGGTTTTGCAAACCAAGTTGCGGGTGGGTGGGTGGGATGTTTGCATGAGCATGGATTGCGTCAAGTCGTTTGCAAAAATCAATTGCACCACGTAGATTGCATCACGCAGGTGCACCACGCAGATTGCATCACGCAGGCATTGCACCACACAGGTCGCACGTCGAAAACACCAGGCGCTGCTGCTTGGGGTCCACGTGCTGGCATGATGCCGCAAACCTGACATTGTCGCGCGCCGACTTCGATAGGTATAGAAGGCTGCGGGCTGCGCCAGGCAGACAGCCAGCGTGAACAGGCCCTCCGAGTACGGTAGGTTTGCGTCGTGTCGACCAGCGGCGACCCCAGCGCGGGCGTTCAAGGTTGAACGCCGCCGGTGACCCAGAATCGATCGATGTTGAACGATCGGACGTTGCGGCAGCGGCCGATCGTTCAAGGCTGAACGATCCCTGCGGTGTCAAAAACCAACGCTGGGGTCGGCACGACACGAACCTGCCGTAGCCTGAGGCGGTCTCGGCGCCCCAACCCTGGGGCGCGGAGTGCCCCAAGGGGCGCCGACGGAGGCGGCGAGGGGGTGTGGAGACCGCCCTGAATTCCTCTTCTGCGCTTCTTGAAGCCAATCGGCGGCGGGCGCGGGGGGGAAATGAGAAGGGGCGGGACCTCCGAGGCTTCTGAGAAGCTTCTGGACTTCTGAGAGGGCTCCTGAGAAGTTCTGTCTGTATTCGAAATAGGCCCAGGAAACGTCTCAGAAGCCCCCCGGACTTCTAAGAAGTCCCGCGGCCTTCTGAGAAGGCCTTCTCCTTCTCATTTCCCCCTTGGGCTCGTCGCCTAGCCAAGCAGGACTATCTCGCGGGGGGGGGACTGGCTGTGCGAATCCCGAAGCCTCACCAGGACCGCACATGGACAGTAAGCTCGAGCCCTGCGGCGCAAGATAGGCCCCCCGGACCCCCAACATTGAAAAGTGAGGGTGCGGCAATGGAGAGGGAATGTTCGAACCCCAAAGCCACAACCCATGCTAAGATCAACATCGATTTCGGGGGCCGGGAGGTGATAAACATCCCCCTCAAGTGTGCGAGGGTTTGAATCTGTTGTCCATGCATTGTGATCAAAGCGACCGTGTCAACACGCTGCGCGCTGGCTCAACGCATTGGCCCACGTTTTGGCGAACGTATCGCGTCAGGCCCACGTGTTCAGGCTGCGAGTTGAGCTCCGTGCCTATATTCGGCGGCGAGCGAGGGGGGAAGTGAGAAGGAGAAGGCCTTCTCAGAAGGCTCGGAAGTCCCCGGGCTTTTGAGAAGTTTTCAAGCCTTCCCCGAAGATACAGACAAATTCTTGGAAGGCGCGAGGGGCTTCTCAGAAGTCCCGCCGCCTTCTGAGAGGGCCTTCTCCTCCTCACTTCCCCCCCGCGCTAGCCGCCGAACCATGCTGCGTGTTGCATGCTGCGTATCGGGGCGGCTAAGGTCGAGGGCCTCCTAGATGGGGCCCGAGCAGATGAGGTCGGGGGATAGCGCCACATCGCCGATGCATCGCCGATGCGGCTCGATGTGGAGCCCGACTGGCTTCACGTCGACGTCGCCAATACATCGCCGACGTCGACGATGCATCGCCGGTGCATCGCTGATACATCGCCGTTGCATCGCCGATGCATCGGCGATGCGGCGCGATGCTCCGACCCCATCTGCGCCGACCCCATCTGGGAGGCCTCTGTGAGGCGAGGAGGGGGGGGCACGGGCCAGGAGGAGGAGGAAGGGGGCGAGCTCGAATGGGGGGGACGGTGCGGGTGCCCCGAGGAGGCCCGCCGCCCCCCTCCCCCCCCCCCCCCGCGCCCGCCAGCCTCAACTTCGCCGAGGAGGTGCGCCTCCCGCCGATGGGCTCCAGCTCGTGGGCGGCATGAGCCGCCAGCCCTCCTCTTCGAATGAGGATCGACGGTAGAGTTGTGTTTTTACCCCCGAACCCAGCCCCCCTCGGGTTGCGGAAAAGAATACGACGGCAGGTGGTTCATTATTTTCGGCCTTCGGGGGCCCTTACCGGGCCTCGGGATTGTCGGGATTGTCGAAAAACGAGTCACGACGAAAAATTGGTCCCGGGGAAGGGGTCGAAACCTCTGGGGGTCGACATTGCGAAAAAATCACGACGTCGGGGGTATGGGAATTGTTTTTTCCGTCGAACTTGCGGAAAAGACGTCGAATGTCTTGCAACATTCTATGCATGTTTGTTCGTGTGCTCGAAGGACAACTCGATTTGGGGGCAGATCAGTTCTGCAGTCGATCCCCTATTCGACCTCTCCACCCTGTGTTTGCTGCGTGCGCGGCTCCCGAATCCCAGACTTGCTCGCGTCGTGAGCACACACGACGGGCGGTTTGTTGCAGTTTTCTGCCTCTGGGGCTCTCGCCGGGCCCCGGGACCAGTAGGAATCGACTCGGGACAAAAGATAGGGCCCGGGGACCTCAAGGGACCCCCTACTGAAAGAGTCAAGACATCGCATGTCTGGGAATCGCCTCGCCAGCGTGAGTTGCTTCAGCCTGACTCTGCCGTAGGCAGGGCCACCTCTTTCTCAGGGGAGGGCCCGTTGAGACAACGGCAGTTGGCCTTCGAGGGAGCCCCCTTTTCGCCACGGCAGGGTCTCCTCGGTTGTCTAATGGAAGCTTGTTGGAGGCCTGGAGCGTCTTGGGGGCGTCTTGGCGGTCCCAGGGGCCTCTTGAAGCGTCTTTGGTGCCTCGCTAGGCGCCTCTTGAGGCCCTCTGAGGGCGCTCTTGGGAGCCTTGGGGCGCTCTTGGGGGCCCCCGGATTGCCACGGCTGGACGTACGGCCGGTGCCGCCGGCCCTGAAGGCGGGACTTGTGCCGGGACCCCCGCTGGCGACCCCTCGCGGGCCCCGCTGGAACCCCAGGAGATGCGGCACTCTGACCGGGGACCCCCCCACCCCCACCCCCCACCCACCACCCACCACCACCACCCCCCACTCCCCACTCCCCCTCCCATCTGGACGCCCGACATGGGTACCGAAAGAATGGGTACGATGCCCAACAGCAGTTCCTGTTCATTTTGAACAGGACTCGCTGTCCGCGCCGCCGCGGCCTGTGTCCATTCGAGACAGGAGGCCGCCCGCCCAACAGCGGCCGCTGTTGGTTCGGGACAACATTTGTTGTTGGGCATGTTGCCCAGTCTTTCGGTACCCATTTCGGGTGTCCAAATCCCACCCCTACTCCCCTGCCACAACCCCACCCAACCACCCACCCCGGCAGGGAAGGGACAAAGGAAGGGTGTTTCTTCTTGAATTGAAGGACGACGTTTCTTTCCCTGGTTCCTCAATTCTTGAGACGCCTACGACGACGACGACGACGACGACGACGACGACGACGACGACGACGACGACCGCGTCGTCCGTACGCCGAAGGGTCGGCGGCTGGGGACGGATTTCGAGTTGCCGTTGTCTCAACTCGCTCTGCTTCGAGTTTAGCTCGACCATGCCGTAGGCATGGCCACCTCTTTCGGTGAAGCACGGCCTGGTCGCACCTCGCTCCTGGGCAGCGACCGGCCCTCGGGAAAGGAGCAGAAGGAGTGGGATGCACACGGATGAATCTCAGCAGATTCCAGAGTTGGCGCAGGTTTGCTCAATTTTTCACGCGTCGCATATCCCCACTTGCCCATTCAGAGACGTCACCGACGAGAGCCGAAGGGAAACGGGAGGCACATAGTGAAACGAAGCCGGCAAACCAGGCTGCACAGAGAGATCTCTGGGAGCGAGGGGGTGGCCCTGGATGGCCTCTTCGGGCCATCTCTGGGGTCTCTTCGGGCCATATCTGGGGCCTCTTGGGGCCACTGTGGAGGCCTCGTTAGTGCCTGTTGGGGGCATCCTGGGAGCCTTGGAGGGCCTCTCGGGGCCATCTTGGAAACCATCGATCAAAGAAGGATGGTTTCTTTATTGGGGTCCCCCCTCAAGAGCCATCGACATCGCCTCTTGGCGCCATCTTCGGGCACTCTTGGGGCGCTCTTGGGCACTCTCGAGGCCGGCGTGGAGATTTCTTGGGGCTCTCTTGGGCCATCTTGAGGCCTCAGTAGCACGTCGGAAGCGAAAAGGCGAGAAGGCAAAAACACATATATTGTGGTAATGTCAAGGTTTCGAATTTTGTCGGGGCTCCTGACGGGGTTCCGAGAGCACTTGGAGCCGTCTTGTGGCCATTTTGGAGCCTCTTGGAGGCATGTCGGCAGCCATCTAGAACCACCGTCGGTTATCTTGAGCCATCTTGGAGCATCGGAGGCCATCATGGGTACATCTTGGGTGCCCTGACCGCTCGCAGAACCCCCAACCAAACACCAGGAAGGGGAGGGGGAGGGTACCCCCTTCCCCGAAGGAAGGATAATTTTGGAAGAAGAAAGAAAGACCTCGTTAGACCACCTTCGCCCAAAGGGCTGGTGGGATTTACGGGCCCAGGGGCTCCATTGCAACCATCTGCAACTCGAAAAAAGGGACGGCGACGACGACGATGACGATGACGACGACGACGTCGACGACGTCGACGACGTCGACGGGCTGCGTTACTCTCGCAGTGGTGCAGGCTCGCCGTCTGGGCCCTCTCTCTAGGCTGGCGCTGCGACTCGCTGCTCGGGTTCCGCCCTCCATCCGTGAAATGTTTGAATGTCTGCTATCAGGAGTGGAAGTGGTGAGGAAGTCGCACGCAGAACGCCCAGCCCTCTCTACTGTCACGCCTCGGGGTGCGACTGGGAGGAGTTGCTTATTAATGAAGAGAAAGGGTGAAGGAGGAGGAGGAGGAGGAGGAGGAGGAGGAGGAGGAGGAGGAGGGAGAGCGACAAGCTAGGTGCGCTCGCGTCATATCTGACATCCTACCCCTCCCTCCCATCCCTTACCATGGCGCAGATCCCCTCTCTACTCGCTCAGTCGGATGTCGAGCAGGGCAATGATGGGTACGCGATGCATTGTAGAGCACGGCATGGCATGGCGTAGAAGAGCACCGCAAAGCGTAGCATCAACCTAGCATTGCAGTGCATGCCGTGGCATGGCACGGGAAATGACGCCAGCGCTGCAGCGGGAGCAGGAGTCGAAACGAGCGGAAGCGCGGAAATGAGGCCAGCGCTGCAGCGGGAGCACGATTCGGAACGAGCGGAAGCACGGAAATGAGGCCAGCGCTGCAGCGGGAGCACGATTCGGAACGAGCGGGGCCCGAAAATGAGGCCGGCGCCTCAGCGAGAGCAGCATTTTGAAAAAAAATGCAGGCGAAAAACCAACTCCGGGGAAACCTGTGTGCAAAAAAACGGTACGCGGGGGGGGGGGTCGGACACTCCCAGGCCGTCATCAGGGGAAGAGGGAGAGTAATATTCATATTGAATAATTGTGGAGCAGAAGGCGAAGGAGGAGGGGGAGGAGTTGCTTATTTATGAGGAGAAGAGGGGGAGGAGGAGGAGGAGGAGGAGGAGGAGGAGAGGAGGAGGAGGAGGAGGAGGAGGAGGAGAGGAGGAGGAGGAGGAGGAGGAGGAGGAGGAGGAGGAGGAGGGGGAGAGCGAGGAGGAGAAGGCGAAGGAGGAGGGGGAGGAGGAAGCCGTTGAGGCTCCAGGCGTGCTCGCTGGCCCCGGCGCGCGCAGCTCGGCGCGCCTGCCGCGCCGATGCCCGAGGTCCTCCGGGACTTCCTCACCAGCGCCGCGGCCCGCCCGCCACGGCGAGGAGCACCGCCACGGGGCGTCCGCACGCGGGCCTCGGCCCCCGAGTCGGGGGAGAAAAAGATGCGGATACGTGTTGTCCCCCTTCGTTTTCGGCCTTTCCTGGTCCTCCTGGGGAATCCTCGTTGTCACCGCTGGATTCGCCTCGAAATTCTGGTCAGAACGCACCCCAAGAGAGGTCCAGGGACAACACGTATCCGTATCTTTCCGCCCCCCAACCGAGTCCCAGGCATGGGATCGTTTTCTGGTTCCTTGTTTCGCCGCTCGGCGCGGACCCTCGCACCCCCCCTTCCCCCCCCCCATGGAGTAGATCTTGGCTGTGTTGCGCGCTCGGTCGAAGCATCCGCACGCGAGCCTCGGCCCCCCGAGTCCCAGGCACGCGATCGTTGTCTTGTTCCTTGTTTCGCCGATCGGCGCGGACCCTCGCACCCCCCCTTCCCCCCCCCAATGGAGTAGATCTTGGCTGTGTTGCGCGCTCGTTCGAAGCATCCGCACGCGAGCCTCGGCCCCCGAGTCCCAGGCACGTGATCGTTGCCTTGTTCCTTGTTTCGCCGATCGGCGCGGACCCTCGCACCCCCCTTCCCCCCCCCCCCGTGGAGTAGATCTTGGCTGTTTGGCGCTCTCGGTCGAAGCATTCCGCACGCAAGCCTCGGCCCCCGAGTCCCAGACACGTGATCGTTTTCTGATTCATTGTTTCACCGATCGGCGCGGACCCTCGCACCCCCCCTTCCCCCCCCTGGAGTAGATCTTGGCTGTTTTGCGCGCTCGTTCGAAGCATCCGCATGCGAGCCTCGGCCCCCGAGTCCCAGGCACGTGAGCGTTGTCTTGTTCCTTGTTTCGCCGATCGGCGCGGACCCTCGCACCCCCCCTTCCCGTACATGGACATTATATTCGAACCCTGTGGCCCAAGATGCCCCCCCGAACCCCCGAATTTAATATTGATGGCGTGGCGACGGGGGGGGCGTGAGTGGACAGAAATATTCGAACCCCAAAGCACCGCCTTTGCTGAGATCAACATTGATGTCGGGGGCGCGGGGGTGATTCAGAATCTCCCTCGAATGTGTGAGGGTTCGAATATATTGTCCATCTACTGTCCATGGCAAGGTTTGTGTAGTTCTGCACATTGCTCAAAGCGACCCTCATAAATCCAAGATCCCATGACTTGGGGGAGAAGGTGGAGGAGGAAGCGAAGGATGAGGAGGATAAGGATCAGGATGAGGAGGAAGAGGAGGATGGGGATGAGGATGAGGATGCGGAGGACCAGGAACAGTAGTGAGAGACAGGAGGAATGAGAAGGATGAGGATGGGAGGTGGTGGGGAGGAGGATCAGGCGGTGGAGCGTGGAGGATTTCTAAGCAGGTGCGGGAGGAGTGAATCAGAGGAGGCAGGGACGAAGAGGCGATGGGAGGGGAAGAGAGGGCATGGGGAGGAGGGGGGGGGAGGGGAAGGGAACGGGGAGGGGAGGGGATCGGAGGGGGCCGAAAGAGGGATGGAAGGAGACGGTCCTGTGAAGGGCTGCCTTGGGCCGTCCTGGAGGCCTCGGAGGCCCCATGGATTACCGGAGCTGCGGGAAGTTCGATTTTGCCTGCCCAGGGTTACATGTTGCTGTCGTCCCACCGTCCACAACAGACATCGGGTGCATTATCGAAAGCTGGAGACGGTCCTGTGGAGGGCTGCCTTGAGCCATCCTGAGGCCTCCGAGGCCCCATCGTTCCCCAGGCTGCGAACGGGTCGGTTTATTCCTACCCAGGGTGATATAGTCAGCGCATACACATGATTGCGATTTTTTCTCTGCACATGCTGTTCCTTCGTTCGCCGTCCTTGGGTCCTGGGTTACCACGCTCCCTTCATCGTCGCCATGGCAGATGGATAGGCGCTTGCTCGTGATATTGATGGGGGCGTTGTCTGGTAGGCTTTCAGGAAAGCAGCTGGCGAGGCAGCCAACAAGGCAGCCAACGAAGCAGCCTACGAGGCACCCAGCGAGGCGGCCAACGAGGCCTCCGACGAGGCAGCCCGCGGGGCAGCCAAAAAAACAGCCGTCGAGGCAACTGGCGAAGCAGCCAGCGAGGCGGCCAACGAGGTAGCCCACGAGGCACGAGGCAGCCAACGAGGTAGCCCACGAGGCAGCCAGCCAGGCAGCGAGGCGGTCGACAGGGCAGCCAGCAAGGCAACCAACGAGGCCACCGACACAGCACCCGGCAAGGCAACCAACGAGGCAGCCAACGAGACAACCAACGAGGCAGCCAACGAGACAGCCAACAAAGCAGCCAACGAGGCAGCCATCGAGGCAGCCAGCAAGGCAGCCAACAGGCAGCCGAGCAGGCAGGCCACCAGGAACCAGGCAGCCAACGATACAGCCACAGGGCAGCCGACGAAACAGCAGCGAGGGGGGATCCCAAAATGGATCCCCCTTGCGCACCTGCGCGCGCATGTCGCGCAGATCTAAACCATTTTCACGGACAGAAGCCGCCCGAACCTATGGCGCTACGAATGGAAAAAAGGCCATCCGAGATATAGGATGCCGGATGCCCCCGTTGGAAGGATGACCGCAGCGCTTTCTGGACCGAGCGCATTTGGCCCGTCGTTGTCTCCACAGCCGGAGAATGTCACCGAAATCCTTCACTCATGTATCTGCCGACGAGCACGTCGCAATGCGCCGCTTGCATGACAGCGGCATGGGCGTCAAGAGGATCGCCGCGGCCTTGAGCCGCTCCACGGACACCGTCTCGAAGCATTTGTTCAAAAAGAACACGACCAAGAAGTCCAAGGGCCGCCCGAAGCATTCCATCCGCACCCCCAAAGGGTTTCTCGCTGCCCAGCGCGCTTACAAGAAGCTTCTGAAGTCCTCGGGCGGCACAAAGGAAGTGACGGCAGCCATGCTGAAGTCCGAGATGAAGTTGACATGCGACATCAAGACAGTGCGCCGCGCGTTTGCTGAGAATGGCTACCAGTTCCGCCCGCTGTACGAGAAGCCTGACCTTTCTGATGGGGACAAGAAGGAGCGCCTGCAGTGGGCCCGCGAGCACAAGCACCGGAGCCCCAGCCAGTGGTCACAGTACGTCCACGCGTGCATGGACAACAAGGTGTTCCAGGTGCTGCCCAATGCGAAGTACAGGAAGGTGGCGGCAAAGCGCAAGGTTCGCGGGGTGTACAGGAAGCGCAAGCGGGACTTCTCCGTGGGCCACGTCAAGCCGAGCAACCCTAAGGTTCTCGGGCTGGCGCAAATCGGAGACCGCGCCGCGGCCACTCAGCGCCAGGCCAGTGGCCGACGGCGCGCTCTGATTTGGCTCGCCCCCAGGTTCTGAAGCAGAGTTCGGGCAGGGGCTCCGTGACCATCGCGTGCGCCATCGGCGCGGGCAAGGTGTTGTTGTGGCACCAGGTGGTCGGCAGGTGGAACGCCGCAGCCGCGGGGCGAATGTACTCGGGGGCGCTCCAGCCCGCTTTGAAGAGGGCCTACCCTTCCGCGCGCGGCAAGTTCCGCGTCATGGAAGACAACGACCCCACGGGCTACAAATCTCGGTCGGGCATGGCGGCGAAGAAGTCCGCTGGCATCCAGACGTTGGACTTGCCGAAGCGGTCCCCTGATCTGATGCCGCTTGATTTCGCCTTCTGGGCCAATCTGAACAAGCGCATGAGGGGGCAGGAGAAGGACTGGCCCGCGAGCAAGACGGAGACGCGGGCGCAGTACCTGGCCCGGCTGCGCCGCGCGGCGTTGGCGACGCCTTCTGAGTACATCCACAGCATCATGGGCAGCTTGCACAAGCGCTGCGGCTTGTTGGTCGAGGCGAAGGGCGGCCACTTCGCCGAGGGCGGCGGGAACTGCGCGCGCGCGCGGTTTCGTCGGGCGGCCGCGGCGCGATTCGCGGCGGGCCAGGGCGGCGGGCGACCGCGGCGCGCAGCGGGCCGGGGCGGCGGGCGGCCCGTAGCGGCCCGCGCCTCGGTTGACCCGCGCGAGCGACGTGGGGCGCGGGAAGGGAGCCAGTCGCGGTCCACGATCAAGACCAATCCGTGCGTCCACCGCCCTTGCGGCTACAGGGCCAGCAGACGTAGTCGAAAGTACCTGATCTTGGCATTATGATCCTGTCCGCCGAGGCCCCCCAGGCGCCAGCGCCCTGGCGGCCCCAGGGAGCCCCTCGCACGAGACATGCAGCAAAAAACATAGTGAACCAACAGTGAACCAACAGTGAACCAACAGTGAACCAACAGTGAACCTTCGTAAAAACCATAGTGAACCTCGAATTCTATTTCAAAAAGAATATGGAACTTCTTTTTTTATTTAAAAAATTGAGGTTCACTATGTAATTTGCAATGGTTCACTGTTGGTTCACTGTTGGTTCACTGATGGTTCACTGTAGGTTCAGTGTGGTTTTTATGCATGTTTGCACATGTCCAACAATGCCGCGCGATCGGCATCCATGGACAGGATCCGCCGACCCCGCCCAGAGGTGCAGGGGGCGCGCCAGGCGCGCCAAGTGCGCCGCGTGCGACAGGTGCGCGGCACGCGACAGGTGGGCCACACGCGCCAGGTGAACGGGGCGCGCCCAAGTGCGACAGGTGCGCAGACGACGCCAGGTGCAACGAGCTCCCCAACTGAGCAGCCAGGCGGCGGTTTACGATGCCCCCGAAGACCCCGACGGTCCGCATTGCGTTTTTCTCTGTAGCCTGTCGGCTCAGCGGGGCGGGGGCTGGCCCTGGCCGGGTCGCGCGGGGGGATGGCGCTCTCGGTGGACAGGCCAGAGAAGCGCCGCAGGCTCGTGGGGAAGCAGAGCCAGCAGACGGCGCTCCTCGAGCACGTCGTCGGCGAGGAGAACAGGAACGCCTCGCGGGAGGTCTACTTGGTGACTCTGCCGCACACAGACAAGGAGGGTCTCAGAGCGCCAGCGGCTTTCTCGCGGGAGGAGGTCCGCGACGCTTTCCTGGATTGCTGCGGCGCTCCGGACGCCGACCCCGCGTGGCTCGCAAGCCACCGCGGGCAGGGGGCCGCGCCCGTCGGGGTCAAGAAGCTGGTGGTATTCAAAGAATACCACGCGCCAGTGGCAGGCGTCCGGCGGGCGCACTACCACGTGGCCTTGCACTTGGGCAAGAAGAGCAAGTTCCTGACCGTGAAGCGGGCCTTGCTCAACAGGTACCAACTCGCCTCTCACTGGTCCTGCAGCCACGACGGGCACTGGTCGGCCGTCGGGTACTGCGCGAACGCGACGCCCAAGAAGCCGCGGAGCGCCCTGGACGTTGACTACTTGGCTTGGCCCGCGGACCACCCGCCGCTGTCCGCGGCGAAGAGGGAGCCGACGACCGCCCGCGCCTTGGAGAAGCGCAGGACCGCGCGGGAGCAGGTCGAGGGCGAGAAGGGGAAGCCAGAGCCTCGCGTCGAGGAAATGGACCTGTGGCCGATAGTGGTCAGGTCTGGGATCCGGAATACTCCGGACGACCCCCACGCAGTGCGCAAGTTGATGGCGTACGCTAAGACGTCCTGCTCGCACAAGGTGGTTGCCTGGATGTTCAAGAACGAGCACGTGCTGGAGAAGATCATCGACAAGGCCTGGGCGTGGGAGAACGTGGACAGCTTCCTCGAAGACGCGACGAAACCCGTCATGCAACAGTTCAAGGAGGCCTTGCGGACGCCTTGCGTTTGCGGCGGCCGCTGGTTGCACCACGTCCGCGAAAGCCTGTCGATGAATCGCATCGACGTCCCCGACCTGAGCAGCAGCATCTTGATGTCCCTGAAGCACGGTCGGTCCGAGGCGGCCCCGGTGGTCACCTTGGCTGGGCGCCTCGGCGGAGAGGGGAAGTCTCTTCTCTTCTCGGCGGTTCGGCCGCTGTTCGGCGGTGAGCACGTGCAGGAGAGGCCAGGCGGGGGGCAGTTTTGCCTCCACGGTTTGGACAAGGCCAAGGCCGCGGTGCTGGACGAGTGGATGTTCATCGATGAGGACCTCCCCCTGTCCATCCAGCTCCTGTGGCTGGAGGGCAAGCCCGTGCCCATCACCATGCCCCAGAACCAGCACGTCGGGCACAAGGTGTACATGGGGTCCGCCCCGATTTTTGTCACCTGCCCCGAGACGGCGCTGGCGGGCCTCTCGTCCGAGTCGTCGCAGCGCCCGCAGGGGCAGGCTTGCATGCTGCTCCGGCGGCTGAAACTGTATTTATTCACTGTGCCGATTCCCAATCCGCCGGCCCCGAAGCTAGTGCCGTGCCCGCGCTGTTTCTCGACCCTCGTCACAAGCGAGGCTCTTAAGTTCAAGCCCAAGTAGTCCTGCCGCGTGCGATTGGGGTCGCTGTGCGCAGACATCATCACCATCATCGCCATCATCACTGTCGCCATTATCGTCGTTGCCACACCTCGTTGCCCCATCGGGAACTCCACGGTAGGCCCCGATGGTTGACTCCGCACGCCGCGCCCCGACAATTTCGGCAGACCCCTAGAGCGTTGCACGACCGCCAAGGGCACGTCGTGCTTCTGGCCCGGCACGTCTCCGACCATCACCGTCGACGATGCCAGTGCTGTCGCCTCTGGGCCCGTCCGTCAGTCCGCGTGGAGCCTCTTTGGGGGTCGTCTTGGAGCCCCCGTGGATCTTCGCAAGGCCCCCTGGAGGCCCTCTCGGGCGAGGTCTACGACAGAGGCCCCCCGCTGCATTCCGTTAAATCCCATTCACTCCGAACTCCGCAGGCCCCCCACTCCTTCCCAGTCCTCGCCACTCCCCTGCAGTCGTCCGCACCCCACCGCACTCCGCCAACAAAAATTCCGAAACCTCTCATTCCTCCACGCCCCTCCGCACTATTCCCAACTGCTCCACGCCCTTCCGCACTCCACCCGAAACCTCCGCAACCGCCCCACTCCCCCCCACCCCTCCGCACTCCTCCCGAACCTTCCGCAACCGACCCATTCCCCCAGACCCCTCCGCAATCTTCCCAGAAACTCCGCAATCCTGCCATTCTTCTCACCCCTCCGCACTCTTCCCGAACATCCGCAACTCTCCCAATCCTCCACACCCCGCCGCATTCTTCCCAAAACCTCCGCAAGTCTCCCATTCCCCCACATTCCTCCGCACTCCTCCCGAAACCTCCGGAGCCCTTCGAATTCGTTCCGCCCCTCCGCACTCCTCCCGAACATCCGCGATCCGTCCCATTCCCCCCCCCCCTGCGCACTCCTCCCAAACCTTCCGCAACCGTCCCAGTCCTCCACACCCCTCCGAACTCTTCCCGAAACCTCCGCAATCCTGCCAGTCTCTCCGCCCCTCCGCACTTTTCCCGAACATCCGCAACTCTACCATCTCTCCACATCCCTCCGCACTCCTCCCAAAACCTCCGCAACCCCTCCCATTCCCCCACATCCCTCCGCACTCCTCCCGAAACCTCCGCAACCCTTTTATCATTCCACATCCCTCTGCACTCCTCCCAGACACCCGCACCTCCCCCATTCCTCCAGGCCCCTCCGCACTCCTCCCGAAACCTCCACAACCGTCCCATTCCTCCACATCCGTCCGCACTCCCCCCGAAACCTCCGGAGCCCTTCCATGTCTCCCCACTCCCCGCACTCCTCCCGGGACATCCGCACATATCCGCACC